AAAAAAAAAGAATTTTAAGATCAGAAATCTGTCAACGTACAAGAAAAACTTTCTGCTGGGATTTTGATTGTTATGATCTGAATGTATAGGTCAATTTTGGCACAATTGCCTATATTAACACTATTGAGTCTTTCAATCCATGGACATAATACATCACCACCGTGATTCTCATGATCCCACATCCTGGGCTTTATTCTTTTCTATAACCTCCTTGTTTTGAGTGTGGCTTGGGACCTAGAATTTGCTTCTAACCAAGAGAATATGACACTGGTGATGGGATGTCACTGCTGTGATTACATTATGTTATACAAGAGTCCACCTTGCTATCAAATTTACTATTGTTCTCCTGCTGCACTTGAAGAAGCAAACTACCACCTTCTAAACTTCCTGCAAAGGGCCACATGGCAAGGACCTGCAGGCAGCTTCTAGGAACTGAGCATCTAGCAGACGGCCAACAAAGAAGCTCACACTTCTACAGCCACAAGGAAATGAATTCTGCCAACAAAATGAGTTAGTCTGGGAGTAGATTCTTCCCCAGTCAAAATCTCCACGTGAGAATCCTGTCCATCAGAACCTTGACTCCAATGTGGTGAGATCTGGAGCTAGAGAACCTAGCTAAGTGTGTCTGAACTTCTGATCCACAGAAACTGAAAGAAGAAATGTTTTAAGTAAAAATGTGTGGTAATATTGGACACAGAAATAGCTAACTATTACACCATTTGTTTAGGTTTTCTTTACCTTTTCAACACTGGTCTGTAGTGATCAGTGTAGAGGTCTTACATACCTTTCAGTAAATTTGTTTCTGGATATTTTATATTTTTCATACTCTTAGACATGCCATTTATTTTCTAATTGCTTGTTACTATTGTTTATAACATATAGAATTAATATCGTTTTCTGCTGATCTTGGATTCAGAAATTCTGAATAAATTCTGAAAATTTCTGAATAAATTCAGAAATTCTGTTAAATTCACTTATTGATTGTAATAGTCAGTTTGTGACTACTTTGGGTTTTCTATGCAGTCATGTTATCCAAGACCAAAGGCTGTTGTAGTACTTCCCAATTTTTATATATTTTGTTTTTTCTTTATTTATTGAACGGAGTAGAATTTCTAATACAATGTTGAATGGGGGAGGTTATATTGGACATCCTTGTTCCATTCCTGAAATCAAGGAGAAAGTGTTCAATCTTTCACCATTGACTATATCATTATCTTTAACTTTTATATATTTTCTGTATCAAAATTAGGAAATTACTTTTTTAACGTTTATCTATCTAGTTTTTAAAAGTGAGGGGAAGGGCAGAGAGAGAGAGAGGGAGACAGAGAATCGCAAGCAGGCTCCACAGTCAGCACAGACCCTGATGCAGGGCTTGATCAAAGGAACTGTGAGATCACGACCTGAGCAGAAATCAAGAGTCAGACGCTTAACCCATTGAGCCACCCAGGCACCCCTAGAGAGTTATTGTCTGTTCCTAGTTTGCTGAGAGTTTTATGATAATCAATGTCGAATTTTATGAGCTGCTTGGGCTCCATTTTCCTGTGCCATGGTTTGGAAAATGTACTGGAAGAGAAAGCTGAGTTTGGGTGAAGCTCATCTCATATGCTCTCATTTCTCGAGGATTATAGTCCTGTGATGGTTGTTGTCCAACCCTTGTGAATAGTTGTTTTATTTTTTACAGCTTCTGCAGTGTTTGATAGCAGTTCACTCAAGATTTCTGGACTAGGCCTTCTTCGAATGCCAGAAGACTAAACAATAGGGAAAATGCGATATATTTTATCTAAAATTTAAGGATTTATACTTTAGAAAAAGGATGCCTAGAGAGTAAGAATGGTGGCGGGGAAGGAAAGGGGCACGGATACATAAAGGAGTCAAACAAGAGAGGACAGCCAGGTGAGTGTGCCACGAACTCACCCCTCCACATCCACTGTCCGACAACATGTGGAGGGCGATCTCTGCTGCGATGCGGAAAGATGACTGTAAGAGACGAGGTGGCAGTAATAGTGGCCTTTGGCTTCCTTCACAAAGTGGTTCCTGAGCGTTAGCAAGGAATGGTTGCCTGTGGTTTGGTTGAATCTTTCCCTACGTCTTCAAATAAGTAAATAAAGACAAGAGAGATGGAGAAAGAAACAGTAGAGGAGACAGAATGCTGGTCAACTCCCAAATCACCATCTTGGAGGTGGAAGAATGATGATACCATTTCCTTTTTCAGACAAAGCCCTGAGGGTTTGCTTCCTGGGATACTTGGTGAAGGAGATACAAAACGTCCCCTCTCTTTGCTTAGGTGGTTTGGTTTCCTTCAGTAAAACCAAGATATTCCATAAGATAAGCCTTGTCTTTTTTTTTTTTTTTTTTTTTTTTTTTCCCAATCTTGTGTCGTCTGCCATATAATTGGTGTCAGTTGCTGTCAGGATCTAACATTAGGTCAACTGCCCATGTCAGTTTTCAGTTTCATTTTGTTTTTAACCTTTCCTGTGTCTTTCTGGATGTTTTGGGGAGACATCAAGGGAGAATACACTGGAAGCTGCTTGTCAGTTGCCCTGTTCTAACAGATACCTCATTGAAATCATTTATTACGTTTTCAAAGGATTACATTTTTGACATCTTTCCAAACTCTTGAGTCATGTTTCCTTCCAAGCCTCATGGCACAGAATTATGTATAACTTTTTCTTTAAAATTTCTCTGAAATGTAAAGCATAATTAAGCAAACTTTTAAAAACGGGTGGATTTGAGTCACTAACCAGTAAATATAAAATATGTAAAAATAGCTCTAGTGAGAGGTATAAAGAAAACTAAATAAGAACATGAGGCTTGAATACAGACTTGTCTAAATAAATTAGCCTTTTCCCTAAAATCAAAAGATGTTGATGATCTGTATATTAGTGTAAATGATCTGAGTGATACCATTCTAAAATGTTATTTTAAAATTCATCTGAATTAGCACAGTAGAATTTCCTAATCTTTCTTTTTAAAAAGATGAATGGGAGAGGAAAAACTTACCTTACCAAATTTGAAATAATCAAAATTTTTATAAAAATAGCTGGCTCGCCAGATTACAATGGGTCATGGATAGGCTTTAAATATACTTAAGGAT